AAGTCACCAGATCTGGAACTCAAAACATGGCCAGCTATATGGGAATCCAGTGATGTAACCATTACGCCATCTGCTGGTGCCCAGCTGTAAAGTAACTGTGTGTCAAATGAATTTTATAGACCATGGAAACTTAATGTTGATCTGAAGTAGTAGAAACCCTACTCTCCCTAGGTCCTTGCTCGTTGAAGAGAGCAAGATTCTGGTTATCTGAAGTTGAAACTTACATACATTTTTGCTTAGACATATTGATGTGCTTGACATACTAATGTAATACTGTTTTTTAGTTATTTTATTTTATTGATTTTTAAAATTTTTAAAACTTGTGCTCATTAGAGAGAAACACAGACAGAGCAAAAGTGAGATATTATTTCCCAGTGGGGATGGCCATGCTACAATCCCCTCTCCTCCATTCTTCTTCCGGGATTTTGGGAATATATGTGCCCGGTGTGAGTTTCAAGTCACCAGGTCTGGGACTCACACCATGGTCTGCCATGTGAGAGTCCAGTACCTTAACCACCATGCCTCCTGCTGGCCCTATCTTAAATTATTTTAAAAGAAACCTGTAAAAAGGGCTTGGTATTTAACCTACTACCATTATGTATCTAATTTCCATAAGAGCATGAGTGGTTTCCAAATGATTTTTTAATCCTAATAAGAACTTTTAAAAAAATAAATAGTTTATAAACTAATTAGGACTGTAGCTGTTATCATTTTGCTCTACATATTTATATTCCTAAGTCTTCCCCTCCCCTACCTCTTTGACACTGCTCTATACTTTCTGTTAAAATAGACAAGCTTTAAAATAGACATCAGACCAGCTGAGGTTTTAAGTAATAATGACAATGATGATGATAGGCTAGTGAAAAAAAAATCAAAGTTGAACTTTTCATAGACTTTATTTATATTGTACATGCTAGTTCGTTATCATCTGGAGAAAGTTTAATTTCTTTAAGTTTAAAGCTTAAACTATAGTCTGGTTGTTATAGAAACTTTGTGTTTGTTCTTCAGTTTGCTACAGGGTGCACTTGCCAGAGAGAGAGAGAAAGTGAGAAATCATCCCTCATGGGGGAGGGCCATGCTGCAGTCCCTTCTCATCCACTGTCCTTGGGATTTCAGGTGTGTACACACAAGCTCTGGGCATGTTTTTTAAGCCACCAGGTCTGGGACTTGAACCATGCAGTTGATCATGTGGGATTCAACCACCTTAACCACCATACCGCTGACTGGGCCAGAAATTCGGTTTTAATTGCTGAGTACCTTTGTATGGTTCTTTAAGGTGAAAACCTCTCTCTCTTTCTCTCTTAAGCTTTATTAGATCTGACCTCTTCAAGAGCAAGGACTTAGTCATATATACTGAAAAATCCCCTAAAGTACCATACTATAGTAACAGTTAAAATTATTAGGTGTAGTAAAGACACAGATGAAATCACAAAATGAGAATGGCAAATATCATATGCATATGTTCAAAGGAAAAGATTTAAGAATATGTTCATGGATTTTTGGAGTGAAATAAGGTAGGAGGAGCGGTCTTACTCCCAGCCTAGAAGCCACGAGAAGGGTCAAAGATCACTCCCCAAATAGAGATGTATCTGTCTGGATCAAGGGTTCTCTGGGAGAGCACACATACAAGCCTCTCCCTACCTCCAGTGTAAATGTGTTGTCTTTAAATATCTGCCAAGTTCAGAGAGCTGCAATAATGTGCTAATTCACAAATTTCTAGTTCTGCACTACTACTCTTTTTTGTTCTACCCTGGAAGAATTAGAAACTAATTAGCAAACTTGGGGTGCTAGGTTCTATTAGAGTAAGCATAAAAATTAGACAAGTATCTGGTCTCAGCCCTTTTCCTATTACAGATTTCTAGCCTCAAGAAGTCCCTGCTAGATTCATCCTATGTCATTCAGGATTTTAATTGAGACCAGGTCAGGATGGAGAAGGGAAGAGAATCATGAACCTACAGCTAACATACTGCCTTGGAAATACCTTTGAGCCATCTAGGAGGAGGGATGACGGGTTAGCAGCAGCTAATTAGTGAAGCCCGTGTGTGAATGAAGGCACCTGGAGGCAGAATGTAGTATGAAAGATGTGAATACCTAGCAAGTTGGTCTTGGCTCTGAGCTTTCAAGTTCTGACCAGTTGTCAGATCATAGGTCAGATTAGATGTACTTTTTAAATTATGGAAAGTATGATTGCTTAAAAGTACACAGACAGTGTAAACTGTTCCTGTCCTCTTTGATTTTGCACAAAACATGTCATAAGTAGATGTTTTTGTAGCTAGCTACAGACGTGAATAGTTAGGGATTTCAAGCTAGACTAATCATTACTATCATTAATTTTTTTTCTCAATGCTGTCAAAAAATGGATGTGAAAGTTGAAGACTTCTTTCCCTCTATTGTAAAAGGCCCCTGCCACTGTTTGGAAAACAATTACTTGTTACTTCTGTAGCAGATGTCTGTATAGCTGCCTCTAATGCTTTAATGGAATCTTTAGAAACTTCCTCCTGAGTACTTTCTATGTGACTGCAGCTCTCCTTCCTAAAAGCATTAGTTCTGTGTTTTTTTTATCATTTCAAAACAGAGTCAGGGGACCAGCAGTTAGCGTAATGGCTATTCGCTGGACTCCCATGTAGTCGAACGCAGTTCGCGTCCCCGGCCCCGCGGCTTAAAATTCACACTGGGCGCGTGTGTGTGCATGCCCAAGATCCCAAGAGGAGAATGGAGGAGAAGGGATTGTGGTGTGGCCATCCCCCCTGGGGGGGTGATTACTCGCTTTCTGTCTCTCTGTCACTCTCTGTCTTGCGAGCGTGCACGCCCAAAAACCTCTCCAGGAAAAAAAAAAAAAAAAACAAAAAAAAAACCAGAGTCAGAAGTGATTTAGAGAGGTTTATTATATTTATAAAAGTAAGGAAATAAACTTCATAAAATTTGAACTAAAGTTTCTTAAATATTTTTAACTTTTAAAAGATAGTTAATGTACTTCCTGCACATAATTTGCTTTCTTTACTTTTAAAGGCAGAAGACATATATACACATTGATTTATTTTAGATTTTGCCACAGAATGCATGTGCTCACTGGAGGGAGGTACGGAGAGACAAACTAAGAAATTACACACACATACACACCGGGGACATGGCCATGCTATAGTCCCATCTCTCCCATTCTCCTCTTTGGATTTTGGGCATACATGAACATGTATCCACATGTTTCAAGCCACTGGGTCTAGGACTCGAACCCTAGAGTTGGTCATGTAGGACCTACCACCTTAATCACCTTGCCACCTGCTAGCCCTCCGTTTTATTTTTTCAAATGCTGCTCTTGTGAAACTTAACTCACTGTAATGTTTAGCAAAATGAAAGCACTGTTGTTTTTTCTCTTCAATACACTATGATTCCATGTATTGTTAAAATTCTTATTTGAGGAGCTGGTAGGTGGGCACTGGACTCCCATATGGTCAACCACAGTTTGAGTCCTGGACCTGGCAGCTTGCTTTCTCACTACTCCCCCACCTGACTCTCTCCTTCTCTGGTCAAATTGAAATGAATAGATAAATAAAGTTAAATTTAAAAAAATAATTCTTTAAATAAAAAAAATTCTTATTTAACATACAATTTGCTGTGAAAGCAAATATAATTTGAACATTGAGTAGTTTAGTAGAATATTAAATCCTAATTCTTGGAAACTGTAGTTATATTTGAAGTAAGTAATAAGGCCATAAAAAAGCATGATTGATTGTCTCTGTATTTAGAACTTTTTTTTAAAAAGTATTAACCTTTGGGGACCAGCAGTTAGCGTAATGGCTATGTTGCTGGACTCCCACGTAGTCGACCGCAGTTCGTGTCCCGGACCCGGTGGCTTAAAACTCATGCTGGTGCGTGTGCGCATGTGCCCAAGATCCTGAGAGGAGAATGGAGGAGAAGGGATTGTGGCGTGGCCATCCCCTGGGGGTGGGGGGGGATTTCTCGCTTTCTGTCTCTCTATGTCTGCCTGGTGAGCGCACGTGCCCTATAGCAGAAACCTCTTAAAAACAAAACAAAATAAGAAAAAGTATTAACCTTTGACAACCTGCTTCTTGAAAAAAGTGGTCTGTGTGAATAGGACCAGGAAACTGCATTAAAACAAAGGGCTTTGAGTGATTTTTAGACTTGAAATGAAGTTATAGAATTATGCTATACATTAAAATCTCTTATTTGGCACCTTAGAAAATCTTGTGTATAAGGTCAACATGGAAATGTTAAACAGTTGGTAGAGAGGGGACAGATAAAATGAGCCATAAATTTATAGTTTGATAATATACTTCTCAAAAACAATAGAGCAAAGAAACAAACTAAAAGCAAACTGAGAAGGTACCCTTTCCTAACTGCTTCATTATAATGTTTAAAACATTTTAAACCTTGGGACCAGCAGATGGCATAGTGGTACATCACTAGACTCCCATGTAGTCAACCACAGCTCAAGTCCTGGACCTAGCGGCTTAAAACTCACATGGGCTGCATGTGTGTGTGTGTGTGTGTGTGTGTGTGTGTGTGTGTGTGTCCAAAATCCTGAGAGGAAAATGGAGGAGAAGGGATTGCAGCATGACCATCCCACTTGGGGGGTGATCTCTTGCTTTTTGTCTCTCTGTCTCTCCGGCAAGCACCTGTACCCAATAGCAAAAAGTCTCTCTAAAAAATAAATAAATAAATAAATAAATAAAACATTTAAAAATATTTTATCAAATACATATCCCCCAAATTATTTTTATCAGACTTCGCAAAATACTAAAAAACAATTAAATATTATAAAAACATACATTTACACAAGCTGTAAGTGCCTAATTTCCTCTCCAGCCATCACTTCAACTGGATGTTGCTCTGTTATTAAACAAGATTTCCTCATTGTTGAAACTTCCTAATTGAAAGTAACTTGGAATATTTTTATTTACCTCTGAAGTTAATGATAACATTCAGATATTAATCTGGTGCTCAGACTCATTTTCATTTATAAAATAATGTTTTCCTCCTAGGTATTTGGAGTAGATGACAATCAGGATTATAACAGGCCTATTATCAATGAAAAACACAAAGATCTGATAAAAGATTGGGCACTCAGTTCTGCTACAGTAGTAATGGAAGAAAGAAAGCCACTGAGTACACCTGGATTTCACAACTCAGAGGTATACATCTCTTCCATGTCCTTGCCCCTTTACATGCATAAAGTGCAAATTACCTTATTTTAAGTAATAGATGTATTACCCAATAAAATACTTTTATAAATTAAATTTTTAACGATGATTTCATTTCTTATGAAAGCCTATAAAGCAGTTTTACAGTTTTTCGTTTTAGTTTTATCATGTTCTTTCTTAATTAACATTTTTGTGTCAATGAGGAAAATACTACAATTTCAAAAGCACTTAATAAGCTACATGCTCATCATCCTCATTGGCGTTATGAGATAAAATAAGAAACAATGCACTATGTTATACTTTGTAGGAAGTCTTTGTTTGGAGTTGGAAGACCTACATATCATGTCAGAAAACGTGATGCCTGATAAGAACAACAATACTCATTAAGTACCTGTGTAGTACAGCCCACAGTGTAATTAGAATACAAAATGAATTAAAGGTGTCTTGATTGGGGTCAATATGATATTTTGGGTTGTTGGGAAACTCATGACTCATTTTTGCATAGTAAAACATAGAAAAACACGTCATGACTTTCCCAACACCCTGATAGTAGGGTTAGAAAGACCTGAGAACAAATCCCACATCTGCCACTTAGGGATGAATGCTTCTGAGTCAAGTGATCTTTTCTTTTATCTTCACTTTTCTTATCTATGCAGTGATATTTTTGGTCAAACCTATTTACAGATAATTTAATGAAGTATAATTTGCCTCAAATTAATGTACTTAACAAATATTTTTTCACTTCTTGGGAATGGTATTAGAATTTCATTCCACAGTGTCAAGAAGGAATGTAAAAAATATGTATGTGAGAAGTATTAATTATTGGGTATTCAGATAATAAGAACCAACATTCAGTGGAAGTTTCTGTGTGCCATTTTACAATAAGAAAACGGTAGTATATAAAATTAATTTAAAGCCAACTTGATTTCTCAGCGTATTCTCTTACTCATGACTCTATACTGCCCTTTAAGAAATTAGCTCATTTATAAAATTTAAGTGGTAAATAAACATAAAATATAAATAAAAGTAAATCTTAAGGTATAAGTAAAAGGAACTATACATGTTACAGTTGTGTGAAATGTTAAGTAAGGTTGTTCATATAGGCAGGTAAACAGACCTATATGTTTACTTATTAGTGTCAAAATGATCACTTTATGGTCTGCTGTTTCCTGAACACTGTCCAAGTAACTACTGTATCTTAGTATTTTTTATTCCCCTTTAATCTGGAGAATTTTATCCTGGATTCTGTTTTATGTGATGTTTAATTTATTTATTGAAAACATATAATTGTTATTTGAAGTAATGTCTTCATATTCTGATTAATCCAGGAAAGGTTCTGGTGAATGTGAACTAAGTAGACTCCCTTCCCTCTTCTCTTTCTCCTCAATCCCTGCCAACTAAAACTTACATGGCCCCAGTATGTTCCTGTCTTTGTAGAAGTCACTTAACTAGTCCATTAGAACACTCTTTACAGAATGGTTCTACTTTAGTATGTGTCAGAGATCCACCCTACTGTGGGTATTCTTAGTATACCCTTTCTGGCACCTCATTTGGTACTCAGAAATGTTGGTGGGCACCATAGAACCTTGGAAGGGAATCCAGGAATTCTATAGGCTTTCGTATTCTTAGGTTTCACTGTAAATGTGTCATTCTCTATACTGTACTGTTATTCTTTTTGGTTTTTGGTTTTTGGCATAGGGTACATGCGCTTGCCAGAGAGAGACAGAGAGAGGGAAAGTGAGAAATCACCCCCCTGGTGATGGCCATGCTGCAGTCCCTTCTCTTCTGGGGATTTTGGACATGCACACACATGTACCTGGCATGATTTTTCTCTTTACTTTTACTTTCTTTTTTAAAAGAATTATTTTATTTAACTTTGTTTATTTTAATTTGACCAGAGAATGACAGAGTGAAAGAGAGAGAAAGAGAGGGGCAGAGAGGGAGGGAGAAAGTGAGAAAGCATGCCACCAGGTCTGGGATTCGAACCGCAGTCAGCCAAGTGGGAATCCAGCGTCCTTAACCATCATGCTACCGGGTATGATTTTCAAGTCACCAAGTCCAGGGCTCAAACCACAATCAGCCATGTGGGAGTCCAGTGCCTTAGCCACTGTTGCCACTTGCTGGCCCCCTTGATTGTTATTCTTAAAATGGTAGAATACATGATATGCAAGAAGTCTTTACTTGATCATTATCTAACCTGTCAACACAGTAAATCTGATACTTTTAATAAAATATTTGTCTTGAGTAGTTGAAAATAAAGTTTTCATCATAACTTTCTACTCCCCAATTTTCATTCCACTTCTGACTTGGATTTTTTGTGAGAGGTGTCATTTTTAAGTGACCTAATTTTTCTCTATTTCCCTTATAGAAAAATCCCTTAATCTTTCATATTAATGCCTGAAATAGATATAGATGTGGGCAGGTCTAGGCTTAAACGGGTTATAGAAAAATTCTTAAAGGTCAAGGGGTTTCTAGTCCTTCTGAAAATATTGAAGTGTGGTAGAGAGAAGTTCAATGCTTTCAGGTTTTTAAATCTCTGGAGACAAGACCTAGCAGATTTAATACTTCCTGAAACACTGGAACCAATCTGTCTTAATAGATATATTAGAGGGCTAGAAAGTAACTTGGGAATAGACTTTTAGACTCCTTGTTCTTTAGAATAGCACTAACTCCACTGGTTTCACCACAAGCTTGTAAGGTTCACCTAAGCTTATCTAGCAGCCCAGTAAAAGTGAAGCTTTAAGAGTTTTAGTAGTAGTATTTGTATTTAAGTATTAGAGAAAAATTATACTATATTCAGAGTAATAAAATGTTGTGGTTTAATAAGGGATAACTAGAGAATCTTTTTTTATATGAGAAAATTTAATAAATGATAACATGAAGGCACTTCAAAAAGTATATGGAAGGTCAAATTAAAGTATGGTTCCTTTTGGTACAAAACATTATGAAATTCATGCTTAGTTTTTTCATAGTATGCATTGAAGACCCCTTCCTAAAGCAAGGTAAGTTTCATTATAGATTGTGTAACAGGTTAATGTGACTAAATCATATTCTCTTTGGTGAGAATCATATTTGACCAGATTACGTTCTCTTATTGTTTTTCTCTTTAGGAAGCTACTTCTTCATCTGGAAGCAAACGTTGGGTTTCACAATGGGCTAGTTTGGCTGCTAACCATACAAGGCATGACCAGGAAGAAAGGATAATGGAATTGTCTGCCCCTGTTCCTTTAGAAAATGGTATTTTCTTTCTTTCTTCCTTTTTTTCTTTCTCTCTACCCCTTTTCCTTTATTCATCTTCTTTTTTTGTAAATCATTTATCAGTTTAACAAAAAAAGTTAAAATTTATATAGTGAGAAGTAAATTAAACCTAAAATATATTCCACGTATTCTCATGCTTGTATTGCATATACAATTTAGTTTTTACCAGTAAAAAGCTGTCTTTTATTTGGCATTTTGTATTTTGAGGGATTTTAAATGGGGAGGAGGGGAGTCCAACTAATAGAAGCCTTTTTCCTTTAAGAAATTTTGTTTACTTTCAAAGTGAAACTTTCTAGGGACAGATGAACAACTACAAGGATTTAGTAGTTCATTCTGAGGTGTTTTTCCTTTTAGTTGCAAATTTCTGTTATTTACTTCAAGTATGGTTTTAGAACATTGTTTTGGTCTTCATGTTCTTATTTTTAAGTGAAAATTCTTTCTACTCTTTTTGATATGTCCATATCTTAAGATAATACTTTATTTTGACTAATGATGTAGTATTATTTAAGTATAATCCTAACTGCAGATAAGGAGATAATTTATAGATGAAGCATACATACATACACACACTCTCTCTCTTTCTCTCACTGTGTGTGTGTATGAATTTGGGTGTGTTTATAAATTTATATGATGGAACCTCAAAAAACTTGTGGGAAAATGGAATTGAAATACAAGTTTACTTTGATGCTAAAAATAATTGAAATCCAAGCATTGTTGTACCATAATGGGCATTTTCCATGAGGTTTTTGAAGCCCTCATGTGTATATTATATATGTATAAATGAAAATTTATAAATAAGAGTAAGGACCAAATTATTACTGTATAAATACAACAAATATTTATTGAATGCCTACATTTTTCCTTATACTCAATAAATAAGAAGTTACTTATTATATCTTATAAACCTGTAGTGTAATTTTTAATACACTTTTATTTATGTGAATTACAATTTAAAATTTCTTTTAAAAACACAAACTTATATGCTTCTCATGATTTTCACTATTCAGTTAATTTTTGCATAGAAAATTATGTCATGACTTTTCCATCAACCCAATACATTCTTCTTTTTTATTCCTTTTTTTTTTAATTGTTAGAAAGCACCCTCTCCCAGTGAGCATGGTCAGGCCACAGTTTTTCTTCTTTCCATCAGGATTCTGGACATGCACAGACATGAACCAAATGTGTTTTAGAGTCTTTTGGGCTTGGATTCAAACCAAGGTCAACCATGTGGGACCACTGCACTACAGGGCTGTCTCTGTGCTCTGAATCAAAGAATGTGAAGATGGTGGTTAAAGAGTACAAAAATCTGAGGAGGGATATATGTCTTTGTTTTTGAGATTTATAGTATAACATGGTGACTAAATTTTATAGTAAAGTACATTTCGAAATTGCTGAGAGAATATATAGCAAATGTTCTCAACACAAATTATTTGAAGTGTTTGAATTAATAAATACATTAGCTGGCTTGATTTAATTATTCCACTTTATATTCATAAATCACATTACTTTGTACCTCATAAGTATATACATTATATAAGTGATCAAGTTATAATGAAATTTTCTAACACTGGTTAACTAAGAAGAAAAAACAAAGACTCATTTATAAAAAAGAATAAGACCCTTGAGGAGGATTCGTAATTGGCTTTTTGTCTGTATCTTTAGTTCTTTTTGAAAATGGACAAGCCAAAAATCCATTTTAAAAATTTTGTAAACATTGGTCAGCAAGAATTGGAGCAAGCTCTATAGGAGTACATTAGCAAAACCATATCATTTATGTATCATAGAACCCAAAAATAATTGATAATATTACCAGAAATCTTGAGAGAACAAAGTCATTTGTAGATTGGTTTACATATTTAGTCACTGTTGACAAAAATAAAAGAAACCAGATGGGAGATTTAGATAAATTTACCAAAAGACCCATTGTTAAAATTGTTACGCATTGGGGCTAACAGGTAGCATGGTGGTTACGGCACTGGACTCACACATGGCTGACTGTGGTTCAAGTCCTAGACCTAGCAGCTTGCTTTCTCGCTTTCCCTCTCTCTCTCTTTCTCACTCTGTCCCTTTCTGCTCAAATTAAAATAAATAAATTACTTCTTTAAAAAAATTGTTAAATGTTAACTGAAAAAGCAAATTCTATCCTTATAAAAAAATAGACCACTTAGGTTTCATGATCTCATTTTTGTTTCATTGTGTTCTAAATCAACTTAACTTAAATAGTAAAATGTTCTTGTTAAATATACATTGAGTGTGTGTTAGAGGACAGTATGAGACATACTAGAAAAAAAATGAGAAAACAGAATGCCATTGCATTTTATATGGTTCAATTAGTACTAAAGGGGATAAGACATATAAATGACAAGAAAAAATGAAAGAAGATACAACATATGATTAACTGCTAATTTAAATTTAAATCAGTCATTTTGGTAAGTATTTCCCTGCATTAATATATTGCTATGAAATTTAAGTGCAAAACTTTTAAAATTATAAAGGGAATAAAATGTCCATGGACGTTATATCCTATATGTTTTTCTCATTTATCTGTTAGAGATTAGAATGCTTTATATGTTAATTTATATCTCCCTGAGAAAAATATCCATTTTCTCAGGAATATCTATACCTATCTATTTATTTATATATTTTGGAGAGTTGTTTTTTTGTTTGGTTGGGTTTTTTTTGTTTGTTTTTGTTTTTGTTTTTTTGGCTGTAGGTCACATGCACTCATCAGAAAGCAAGAAATCGCCCCCCGGGGGAATGGCCACACCGCAATCCCTTCTCCTTGATTCTCCTCTCGGGATTTTGCATATGCACGCGCGTGCGCATGCATGTGCGCGCGCACACACACACACACACACACACACACACACACCTGGTGTGATTTAAGCCACCGGGTCTGGGACTCCAACCACAGCCAACTACATGAGAGTCCAGCAACATAGCCATTATACCAGTTGCTGGTCCCAATATCTATTTATTTTAAAGAATTATTTTCATTTAACTTTATTGATTTATTTATTTAACCAGATAGGGACAGAACAAGAGGTGAGGTGTAGTAAGAAAGCAACCTGCCAGGTCTGGGACTTGCACCTTGGTCGGTCATGTGGGAGTCCATTGTCTTTAACCACCATGCCACCTGTCAACCCCATACCTTTTTTTTTTAAGAGTCAGGAAAATTCTATTTATGTATTCTCAAATTCTCTTATGTGGGAATATCAAAATACAAATTTCTTTGTAATTGAGGTCGACTTATTTGAAAAAAAGAAAATAATTATATGTTTCTATATTAAACCATTTTAAAATTTCTTCATTTGTACAATTATAACATTGTCCTGTCACGATTTTTCACATGTAGAATTTTTAAAATTCTTTTAATCAGTTTGAAAAACAAAACAAAACAAAACCCTTGTTAAAGTTTTGCTTTTCTAATTTTCTTAGGAAATAGCAACGTTGTCATTCTTATAAGTAGATGATGCCTACTAAACACTTAAAACTAGATACGTTATTCTTCTATATCCTGTAACTGAAATTACAGCAAATCCATAATGTATATTAGACATTCTCTTTGTAGACTACAAAGCAAACCTTCAGAGTGGGAAAGTCACAAAAGCAAAAACACACACAGTAAACTGTGCTGTAAAAGAAAGAAAAGGAGAGCAACAGATGTAGATTAAGATCACATGACCCTTGTAACTATGTTGACTATAGTTAATAGCAATATATTATATACTTGAAAATTGCTGAGAGATTTTAAGAGAGATTTTTGTTACAGGGTGAGTGTGCTCAGCAGAGAGACAGAGCGAGACAGACAGAAAGTGAAAAATCACCCCCAGGGAGGATGGCCATGCTGCAATCACTTCTTTTTTTGTTCTCCTCTCGGGATTTTGGACATGCACACACACACACCTGGCATGAGTTTTAAGCCTCTGGGTCCAGGACTTAAAACGCAGTCTACTATGTGGGAGTCCAGCAAGGTAACCATTATGCCATTTGCTGGTCCCAATGAGAGAGAATTTAAGTGGTCTTGCCACCCAAAAAAGTTATATGAGGTAATGAGTATATTAATAAGCTTGATTTAGGGACCAGCAGTTAGCGTAATGGCTATGTCGCTGGACTCCCATGTAGTCGACTGCGGTTCGCGTCCCGGACCCGGTGGCTTAAACTCACGCCAGGCGCGTGTGCGTGCGTGCCCAAGATCCCAAGAGGAGAATGGAGGAGAAGGGATTGCGGCGTGGCCATCCCCCTGGTGGGGTGATTTCTCGCTTTCTGTCTCTCTGGAGGAACCCTAGGGAGCCATTCAAAAAAAAAAAAAAAAAAAAAAAAAAAAAAAAAAAAAAAGCTTGATTTAACCATTCTGCAGTGTGTACACATATCAAAATATCATGTTGTACTCCATAAAGATTAGATTACATGACTGTTTTCATCTTATACATTTTGATTTCCTGACTCTTCTCAGTTATATGCCTATTTGTGAACCTTAGACTTTGCTTTTTGAACTACTTAGTCACAATGCTAACTATTTTATTATTATTTTTTTAATGCTAGAGGGTACACGTGTCTGTTCAAGAAAGGGACAGAAAACAACCCCCAACTGGGCCCTGGTTATGTCATAATTCTTTATCCCCCAAATTCTTCATCCTGTTAGGATATTGAGCATGCACCTATGTTTCCGGTGTCCTCTTTTTCTTTTTGCTTTTCTTTTGAGATTTTTTTTTTTTTTTTCTGTAGGATGCATGAACTCACCAGAAAGAGAGATAGAAAATGAGAAATCATCCCCCAGGAGGGATGACCATGCTGCAATCCCTCCTCCTTCATTGCCTTCCTGGGATCTTGGGCACACATGCACATATGCCCAGAGTGAGTTTTAACTTGCCAAGTCTAGGACTCAAACCACAGTCGACTATGTGAGTGTACAGCAGTGTAACCATTACACCATCTGCTGGTCCCTCCATAGTACTAATTTTCTAAAGCTGCTGGTGCCAGGATTTGAATCCTGTTTGACCAGGTGGAATCTAGCTAGCTTCCTCTGCACTGAACTACAGGGCTAACCCTCATTTATTTTAAACTTAAGTCATTTTTAAATTTATACTTCAAAATCTAATGTACTATGGTGTTCCTTTTTATGTTTACTCTCTTTGCCATAATTAATTTCTTCTTTGTGATATTTATTTTATAGACACAGATATCAGTGAATCTGGTGTTTCAGTGAGAACTACTGGCTCTGCAACTTCCTTGACTAGTCAGGGAGAGAGAAGGAGACGAACTCTTCCCCAGCTTCCAAATGAAGAAAAGTCTCTTGAGAGCTCCAGAGCAAAGATGATAGCACAAAGGTCAGAAATAGGAGAAAAACAAGATACGGAACTTCAGGAGAAAGAAGCACCTACACAAGCATACCAAAAAGACAAGCAAGATGCTGACAGAGCACTGAGTAAAATGAACAGAGCAGTGAATGGTGAGACACTTAAAACTGGTGGAGATAATAAAACCCTGCTTCACTTAAGTGGCTCATCTCCTGGAAAGGAGAAAAATGAAACTGATAAGGAAGCTTCTTTGGTAAAGCAAACATTAGCTAAAATTCAGCAACAAGAACAAAAGGAACAGGCACAGTGGACGCCTACAAAATTGTCTTCAAAAAATGCTTCATCAGGTCAGATAGATAAATGTAGGGAGGAATCTTTTAAACAAGAATCACAACCTCAAGAAAAAAATATTGGACATTCTACAAGCAAAGGAGAAAGGGCAATACAAAATGAAAGCAAGAGAAGAAAAGCTGAGGAGATTCTGAAAAGTCAAGCTTCAAAGGGAGGAGACAAGAAGGAATCATCTAAGTCATTAGTGCGACAAGGGAGCTTCACTATTGAAAAACCTAGCCCAAACATACCAATAGAACTTATTCCCCATATAAATAAACAGACCTCATCTATGCCTCCTTCCTTAGCATTAACATCTGCAAGCAGAATTCGAGAAAGGAGTGATTCTTTGGATACTGACTCTAGTATGGACACAACCCTTATTCTGAAAGATACAGAAGCAGTTATGGCTTTTCTAGAAGCTAAACTACGTGAAGATAATAAAACTGATGAAGGCCCAGATACTCCCAGTTATAATAGAGACAATTCTATTTCACCAGAATCTGATGTGGATACAGCTAGTACAATCAGTCTTGTTACTGGAGAGACTGAAAGAAAGTCAACCCAAAAACGAAAGAGTTTTACTAGCCTATACAAAGATAGGTGTTCCACTGGTTCTCCTTCCAAAGATGTTACAAAATCATCGTCTTCAGGTACTAGGGAGAAAATTGAAAAGAAAACAAAAAGTCGTTCCACAGATGCAGGTTCAAGAGCAGATGGTCGTAAATTTGTACAATCCAGTGGAAGAATAAGACAGCCATCAGTAGATTTAACAGATGATGACCAAACCTCAAGTGTTCCTCATTCGGCTATATCTGACATTATGTCCTCTGATCAGGAAACTTACTCTTCTAAATCTCATGGGAGGACTCCAGTGGCCTCAACTGATGAGCATGTGCACTCCAAACTGGAAGGAAGTAAAGTAGCGAAATCCAAGACGTCTCCTGTAGCATCCGGTTCATCCAGTAAATCAACCACTCTTCCTAGGCCACGACCTACCAGGACTTCTCTCTTGCGCAGAGCACGACTTGGTGAAGCTTCAGACAGTGAACTTGCTGATGCTGACAAAGCATCTGTTGCTTCTGAAGTATCCACAACAAGTTCTACGTCAAAACCTCCCACAGGAAGGCGTAACATCTCCAGGATCGATTTATTAGCTCAGCCTCGTAGAACAAGGCTTGGCTCATTATCAGCTCGTAGTGACTCTGAAGCAACAATATCTAGAAGTAGTGCCTCTTCACGTACTGCAGAAGCCATCATTAGAAGTGGAGCCAGATTAGTGCCGTCAGATAAATTCTCTCCTAGAATTAGAGCCAACAGTATCTCTCGACTATCAGACTCCAAGGTCAAAAGTATGACCTCTACTCATGGCTCTCCTTCAGGTAAATTGGATCCAGATCTTTAATAACATTAGCATGTTTTACTGTTTGGGGCTTTTAAAAAAAATTAATTCTTTTATGGTCATTTTCCCAAAATACTCAATAGAAAAGAAAGATGTAAAAGGTGGTTTTTTTCCTATGCAAATAATAGAAAATTCAGAAGTTATACATTTTCCTAGTTAAATCCTGAGGTAAAAATGCCGATTTCAAAACTACAAATTCATTAAACTGATTTAGGAGTTTTAGTTTTCTAGTTGGTGATAGATCTGAATCTGTGTGTCAGAATTAGATTGGAAATTAATCCGGTTTGAATACCAGGAATGAATACTGTGCTTCTAAAAGTACATGTTTAACCTTTGAATAGCCTCATGTAACTTAAAGCCCTTATGAACCAGACAAAAGCTATACATCCTTTTTGACTCCTTTCAGAGTTAAATGAGGTAATCGATATTTTATTCTTTTTTCCCCCTACTTATTTTGAAATGTCCCATGTGCTTTACTTAATACTTTTTAAAAAAAAATTTTTTTTTGGAAAGGTTTTTTGCTGTAGGGCGCATTGCTTGCCAGAAAGACAGAGAGAGACAGAGAGATAGAAAGCAAGAAATCACCCCCCAGGGGGGTTGGCCACACCACAATCCCTTCTCCATTCTCCTCTCAGGATCTTGGGCACGCACGCATGCACACGCGCCTGGCATGAGTTTAAGCCACCACGTCTGGGACTTGGACTGTGGTCAGCTACACAGGAGTTCAGCGACATAGCCATTATGCTAACTGCTGGTCCCCTTAATACATTTTAAAGTTAAATTTCTTTATGGTTGGAACAGGTTAAAATTAGCCCTTAATTTATTTCAGTGGAAGAAGATGGATTCATGGGGCAATTACTAATAGTCACATGTGGGTCAAACTGGCCTGTAGACACTTGACTGGTTGTGAACATTCTCTCACAAAGTGCTGTTATATCATTTAATTTTAGCAGTTAGCTATAATTGAATGTAATTCTACAAAAGCTACTATTTCCCACAAGAATTTAACTGCCTTTGACTCATTTATCTGTTTATGTACTTCATATTCAGAGCTGAAGTCATTGAGAGCACATGTGTGACCAAAGAGTAATGAGGTAGCTAATTTGTGTGTATCCTGTAAGCATGATTTCATTACTTCATAATCAGCCACATATATGGGTGTGGCTATAAAGGCCAATGGGGGAGGTCAACTGTTGTAAGACCTGAAGATTTACTATACTGTCAGTTAACTAGCCTCTGAGTGAGCCGTAAGTCTTGAGTGAAGAGCGGAGGGAAAACAATGTGCAGTTTTGGGGTGGTTTGTATCTGCCACACTATATCCTACAAGACCTCAGACTAACGATACTTGTATCCTCTAAGACCCTAAGCTAACACATGTGTTGTTTTTTCACTTTTTATTCCTTCTGTCTTTACTGACACATTTCCCCCACTCCAGTCACCCTTCTGTCTGTGTGCTGGTCAGTGGGTTTGGTGATGATGGTCATAGTCTGTGGTGGGGATAGATGTAGGTTAAAGCTAGGTAACAAAATTACGGTTCGACAAGGAATAGATGGCATTTTATTTATTGTTCCAGTCCTTGTTTCCACACTTCAAGCTTTGGTTGATGGTTCATGAATTTATTGCCAAACGGTCTAAAGCTATTACCTTCTGGTTTCTTTACCCAGTGTTGTTATTCTGTTGTTCCTTATGGCTCTATCTCTTCAGCTCTCACTTCCTTTGTGCTTCACTCTATGGTGTGTACCCTGATGAAGTCTCTTCTACCACACTGCTTATTTTATCACCTCATCTTCCATTAAGTATATTGAAATGTTTATGTATTTTCCTGTTTTAACATAGCTGTAACATAAGTTACATGTTACCAAGTAGCGTGGAGCAGCTCTTCCTTCTCTACTGATTGACTCGCACTTACCTCATGAACAATCTGGTTTTATTCCTCAATGTTTATAACATGAGGAGCTTATATAAGATGACCAGTATGATTATTTCTTTGAGTCTAAGAAACAATGATAAGATGCCTTATATTTAAAGATAAATTTCAGTTTATGCTTCTTTGAATACAAAATTTGATAAATATTCAGTTCTCTATATCCAAAAGGAAATACACATTGCTTAATGAAATTCTCTAGAGCAAATCGAGGTATGATTTTAACTTTGTTCATATTTACTAACAGTATATTAAATTATTAGAATCATGGGTTTAAAAGCCAGAGATTATTTACTTAAAAGAGCTGAAGCCAAGAGACAAAAATAACTGCCCTGGTAGAGCTATGGCCTGGGTAGGATGGGAATCCAGGGCTTTCAATCCCAAGCCTGTTGCTTTTCTATCATATTTATTCTAGCTCTAAGAAATAGAATGAGTTTCTAGTTGTGTGCTAACCTTCCAATTCATGTTCTCTATTCCCACATAGGGGCCAAAAACTACACTGTGATCCAGAATTCTATATTCAGGTTCTCATAAGATCTCCATTTTGTAAGGAAGACAATAGTAAGGATATTAAGTTAGTGGGAATATACTGAAATAGTTGCATGGTAGTAAAAACATAAAAATAACATTTTTTAATTTTGATTAGAGTGTCTCTGATATTACAAAATTTCTATTTAAGAAAATTATATTATCTTGCTTGGAAAAAAATAAAAACCTTAGCTTTTCACATATTATTTAGGAAACAGGTAAAATCATTCTGGTCAGTGCTTCTATGCTCAATGTAAACTATAAAAATCTTAGAAATATCTGAACATAGCACCTGCAATATTGTCCAAATTGGCGTACATACAAGTAATTCTGTAATGTCTCAAATTACATATTAAAGAGTTTTTAAGGAGATGTATATGATAAAAATAAAAGATTGGAAATTTCTGACTTAGTAACATGAAGGGTAGGAATTACTTTATGCCTTCCTGATGTAGTTTTTTTCCTAGGAGTTTAGTTGGGTTTTTGTCCCCCCCCCAATTCCTTTCATTATTCTTGAATATCAATTTGTAATTTAAATATACAGATTTATCTTGATGAGATGTGTTTAAAATTAAGGACTTTGAATTATCAAAGTAGAGCAGTTGACTTTCATTATGTTTTAAGTACACATTTTAGAAAATAAAAACATAGGTTAATGTCAGAATTTTTTTAGATTGTATGCTTTCCCTTTTAATACTGAAAAGTTATAAGTAGTAGAAATTAAATATTGGGCATGCATGACTTGAGTTTATCCTTCAAGGTCAAAGGCCAAAACAACATCGTGAGAGTTTTTGTCCTCCCCTCAAATGATCTTACTGCTGCATGCTCATAAATATATATGTAAAACATGTTTGTAGTTTAATTTTATTCTAAAATATTCTTATATAGTGTGAACATGCAAAATGTATTTTGTAAAACCTGTTTGCTAAATCCATTGTGCATTATAATGCCAACAAGTTTTGGTTACTTTAAAAGAAATCCAAGCATTCACATATAATGCTATTAGTAACTTTCCTTTTTAATTCTCTAGATATCATGGGTGATAGTATGATCTCATAGAGAATACAGTTGTTTATTACTTCCTCAAGAGGAAGTGTTGCATATTTTATAATTAAAGTAAAATTTACAATTAATATTATAACTAAAATAAGTTTCAGGTGAACTACAAGATTAAGCCAATCTTGGAACTTTCTCTCATTTTAATAAATGTGTTATCTAGCAATTCACCAGTCACTAAGCATCTTAGAGATTTGCATTTCAAATACCCTATAGAAATTTTCAATTTACTGATCTATCATTAAATGCTCAAGTGATGAGGCCAGCAGATGGTCTGGTGGTTAAGGCAATGGACACTTCCACATGACTGACCACAGTTCTGGTCCCAGATCTGGTGGTTTGCTTTCTCACTTTCCGTCTCTCTCTGTGTCTCTCTCTTGTCAAATTAAAATAAATGAATGAATAAGTAAAATTAAATAATTATTTTTTTTAAAAAATAATTATTTTATTTAACTTTATCCATTTATTTATTTATTTATTTTCATTTGAATAGACAGGGATAGAGTGAAAGAGGGAAAGTGAGAGCAATCCACCAGGTCCAGGACTTGAACCATGGTTGACCATGTGGAAGTACAGCACCCTTAACCACCAGGCCACCTGCCGGCCCCAAAATTAAATAATTCTTTTTTTTTTTGGAGAGATTTTTCACTATAGGCGTGTGCGCTCGCCAGACAGACGGAGACAGAAAGCGAGAAATCACCCCCCAGGGGGGATGGCCACGCCGCAATCCCTTCTCCTCCATTCTCCTCTCGGGATCTTGGGCACACATG